AACAAATTTCACCAAAAGGTTTGCACATGCGCGCCCGCAATCTCGGGAGCAAGGACAGCTACGGCCTGGGTTGAAGCTTCCGTAAAACCGAACGGCGTTGATCATTGCAAGTGTCGCCAGGTGGCGCGCGCCGCGTTGATCTATCTTCTGAAGATTACCAGTTACAGCAACATAAAAGATAGAGATTTTACGTTTACTCTTCCAGTTCCACTGCCAGATTCCAGCACCCATTTTCGGTGCTGTAAGGGCCAATCGTTCTATCATCAATCTAAAAATCGCACAGGTGAAATATATGCCCATACTACCTTCTAAACGTAAGAATCCATATTCTAAATCGTTCAAAGTACTTTTTAGAGGCTTCATCATTTTCGTCCATCTGTTGGCCACGGCTAAGTGAACCGATGGGCCGCCGTATCGCGCCCTAAGAAGACTGCAACGCCTGGCGTAGAGGCTTTTGTTGCTAAGATCTGCACGCGCCCATGCTCAAAACCACGTTACACAAGTTATGTCTCTAATCGATTTAAGTGTTCTTGGGTATTTTCTTCAGAAGTGTGATCATTTTCCTTCAACCATTGACCACGACTCAGCGGAGCTGATGTTGTGGGGCCCGCGGAGACTGCAACGCCTGGCGTCAAAGTTTTTGTTGCTGGGATTTCCGAGCGCGCATGTTCAGAACTACGTTACATGACTTGATCACTAGTTGATTCTGACTGAATAATAAAAGTTTCCAGAAAAGCATGGCTTGGCCACGACAATACACAGTGTTGACCGCTTTCGATCTACAATCTACCTTCGCAGGGTCCATGTTTGTTACACCAGAACCAAAAATCCTGAAAAGGCTTCTGAATTATATCGGTTTAAAAAGAGTTTCCTGAGCCATTGCAAATTAAGGCCGCCGGTGATTTGCTGATTTCTGCAGTTCATTTACTTCCAAATACAAACAGCATTGCTGCGGCGGTAGCATCTTGTTTCTGTTAAGGTAGAACTAACAATAAAACGAAGAAAACCGTGTCCTTTGTTAACAAATAAGTTATATCCGACGATTCTTTTTTTGGGGGGAGGAAAGTCACCATCAGAGGGGCTTGTTAGCCATGTGCCCCATTGGCAAGGTTCTGGCTGCGCCCCTGCCTACATACAAAAGCAGATTAAGTCGGCTACGTTGAATGAGGGGCAATTGATTGTCCGTTGGACCAACTCATGCATAAGGCAGGTACCCTTCCGATTTTTTTCTTTTTTTAGTCAAAGTCGCTGTGCTGTAAAGGAAGGTAATTCGAAAAAGTACCGTTCCAGGTGTCCCATGTATGTTTTATACACCAAAAAGTAGCAATTTGGATTCATGACTATGCAGCAAATCAGTCACACAATCAGTTCGCAGTTACTCATGCGGAGGGCAGCCAGGTCAGGGCAGTGGCCGCCGACGGCGAACGAGAACAGTACTCATATATGGAATACATGACAGAAGGGCATTCATTCTCTGACTTGGTTTTTACAAGAAAAAATCCAGTTTTATGGTTTTTGTCACACTGTTTTTGGCAGTTGGTACTTGAAGCTTTTGAATTTGTTTCCGCCTAAAATGCTGCCGCAAATCTCACCTCATGAAAAGCAGCCGGCGAGATCTAAGCGCATGAAACTCTGGCTCCTGGGCGATCCATTTGCATTTAAAATTCTGACCATCCTATGTCCAAGTATCATTTTGGTATCTACTCGGTAGAGGACGATGCCTCCTCAATGACCAAAAACGCTTTCCGCTCATGTATTTTGCCTCCCTAAGGAAAACACTGTTGAAATGAACGCATGATCGTGGGACGCTGGATAGCCTATTTGCCGAATGGCATAGATGATTTGAATAGGTAAGACAGGGCGCCAGTGAGGAACAGCCGTAGATGTATATCTAGTTTGGCAGCCATGACATTGCTCACTTCCAAAATATGTTACGTGAATTAAGAGCGGACAATAACTCCACACCTACCCCTCCCCCACCCCTCCCCCGCTCCGGTCGCCCGGTTGGCTTCCCAGAAAAAGTCCCTGAATTAAACCCTGAGCCTGTCCCACCCCCACTTTTTGAAACGTTTCTACGCCTAGGCAATGACAATGGAAAATATCACTATTTCTTCGATTTTGTAGGGAGCAGACGATCTTTCATTGATTTTAGGGTAGGATATAGGGCTGTAGGATGTCTGTGCCATGTAATATCCTCTGGCTCCTAGTTGAGATTTGGCAACTAGTTCAGGATGAACACCATTGCGTTTGCTGCTTAGAAATCATAGTCACACACTTTGCGCCGATTTTGCAAAAAGCTTTATATGTAATGCTGTACGCTGCGGTTTTTAATACTGAAATTGTCTGTTAATTTGTCTGGGATATGTTCTACTTTCTCATATTGCCATTTTTACTTGATTCATTTGATTCACTGACACAACATTGCTAGTAATGATTAACTCATGATTCAGCCCTTGAAACTTCGTAAAAATGTGACTCAGTTCATGACTCAAACCGACCTTTTTTCTAATGAATCGATTTAGCTCACGACTCATCCCAAAACGATTAACTCATGAGTCGATGCATGACTCAGCTCATGTTGAACACAGTCTGCTTGTGGGACAGGTAGCATAGAGCTACCGATATGCAGCGCCCTCTACGATTTCGACCGCGGCGGAAATAAGACGGAAATGGGCGGAGGTTTGGAGGATTTGGTGGAGCACCGGACTTGTGATTGGGGTAGACCATGGAGTGTTAGCATGAAGTGGAAGCAGACCATCGTGATCGGTTAGGCAGAAGTCGACCAAATGGAAAAATCTCGCTAATATAACTATAGCTCAGACGACCACCAGCGTGGAGCTGCCATCCAGGCAGGGGCTGACGATCCGTTCGTCCAGTAAATGGTCACACGGAGCTCAGTGAATGTTAGGAGCGTGAGGCTGAAGACGCAAGCGCCTACACGCCTCAGCTTACACTGCAGGTTTAGCGTCTGCGTCTGCCATATTGGCCGGACAACACGGCCGCCATCTTAATATTTGATTGATTTTTATGATTTTCTCATTTGCTTTTCGCAACTAGCATTTCTCTAAATGTTTATTCCGGGCCTTATGGACGCCTCCTCGGCCCTCCTTTGAATGTGGCTGAATGTGGCTGAATGTGGCTGTGGCTGTGGCTGTGGCTGCCTCTGCGTATCGCAGACCGCGGCGCCTTGCTCAGTGCCTTGTGCGTAGTGAACCCGTGACCGGTTTTAGCCGGCGACTTGTGGCGGCTCGCCATAAGCTCTCTAGTTTACTGGGTCATCGCAGTTATGATTGTTACAGCCAGGGCTGGGCGAGCCGAGAACAGGCACAAATTCGGGGGAAAACGACTCCACTTACAGGAGGCAGTAGCAGATGCAAACTGTCCATGTCAGTCAGCACAAAGCAAATCATAGAAAAACTCAGCAAATGCAACCCTACTTAACCAGCGGGGGCGAACAAAGAAAGAGTGGGATCGCTCTCGACGTACACCAAACATGGTGAGCACAAACGTATGCAGGTTAAAATCACATTACCTTAAACCACACTGGCGACCAAGTTAATTGCATCGGACGAAAAAATATCTCAAATAGGTAACGACGAGTGCGCATGCAATGCCACTTCCAGGCTAGGTGAGAAATCGGATATAGCATTATTAGAGCCCATTTGCGTGGATCGCTATCAGGTTTCAGTCCGTCCTAGTTAACGTGGCCGCAACAAGTTACGTGCGACAACGGATGCTCAAAAACCCTATGCTGCAGTTGCATGTCCACATGGAAAAGAGACATGGTTCCGCAGGCCCACAACGCACTCGCTCAAAAAGCCCGCGGGGCTCTGAGCCGGAATCGCCGACCACATTGCAGGCTTTGGCAGACGTTATTTAAAATCAAGCAGCCTGTGTTTGGCCTATAAGAGAGACTAGTGGCGTGACTTGTGACGCGACGCTGTTTCTGCTTAATTCCTGGACTTAAAGTTGCAGCGACCGGGGCTGTACGGCGAGGAACAGCAATAAACGGCGGACGAGTGGAAACCAACTTGTTACAAGTTGCTGCGCATTGCGACCCAACCAGCTGGTGACGTCAGTGGAGCAACGGGGAACTGTTGGTGATAACGGTGGCAGAAAGCAATGCGCGGGGTTAAAACATGTGGTGCGCCAGTTCTGCTTGTGGATGTTCTAGGCATTTCTTTAAATGTATATACAAGTTTCAGACATCACAGAGAGAGCTCAGCCAGTTTCGTGTGGTGGCTGCTGGTAGTGATGGCTGCCTGACTGTCTATTTTTCTACAAGCTCTGGACATTCTACAACTACATCTTTCGACATGATTAGCAAGCTGGGGTAAAAACAGTATTGATTTCCCTATTGCCTTGATAAAATCGTTGAGCGTGTTTCGACCGTATCTGTGTGCCATGCAAAATGTTACAATGAGTTACAGATGGGCATCATAGACCACTGGCGGTGGTCACGTAGAACAAGTATTCGGCTTTTTCAGAGGCAACGTAGAACAGCGCAGTGCTCCATGTCCCGTGCCAGATGCACGTGTGAGCACATTGTGTTTTCCCTTACACTTGGTAACAATCTGCCCGCAAACCCGTCGTCCTTGGACGGGTTCACTGATGATACGATCCAATACTGCATCTCTTACAGCCTAAATTTGACTCGACTTATATGCTTATCATATAGACTCACTGACTAACGGATGATTCGGGTAGCCTGCCAACCTCGCTTCGTAATGAGGCCGTCCCGAACACGAGCATGTCAGCTTTTTCCCTCCGGTTTTTCCCGTCCTTTGATGGCAGGCTCACGGACCCATCCCAATCGAAATCACCGCCCTAAAACGCCGTTGGTAGCCGCTGGAATGCGGCGCGGAGAGATAAAAACGGGCTGTAAACGAGACCGTCGCCGCTCCGTTCCCAGAAGTCAACAGACTGGCCACCGATTGGACGAGTTCGACAGCCAATCAGAGCGTGGTTCGGTGACTGCGCGCGCGGGGCGACAGCCGGCCAGGGAATCCCAAGGCGGGCGCGAGCTCGCCGCTCCCGTTCCGCCCGCTTCGGCCGATATAAAAAGATGACTGTTGTTTGGACTGGCATTGAGTGACCAGTGGGCGGTAACGGGCAAATCCGAACGTCCTGCGCAGTTAGCCAGGTACGTGGAGTTCTTTAACAATAGAGATACAAGGGACAGTGTTCATTTTTATCGTCCTCCTCCACTGGTTGAGCTGATTGTTTCCAAGGGTGAGATCAGGGGTGAACCAGAGGATAACTGAGATTCCCTACGAGCCATTGAGAGTCCCCAACGTCTCTTGCCCGCTGAAAGAGTTTGGAGCGCACATTGTTCATTAACCACACCCCTTCTCTGAGTAGAGCTCCGGGTCAAATTTAGCCGATTCTATGATTTCGTTGTAAACCAACCGGGTGCAATAGCTATGTGTCGACCCACCCCAAACGATGTGGCCAGCTCGGCTGACCTGCGACGCCGATCACATGACTGCATTGAGGCAGGCTCGTATTCCGGCGACTCTGTATCAGTACCGCCTGATGCCGGTACCTAACCGGTGGCCTGTGCCGGTGGCCGTGCCCCCGATGCCGTCCCAGCGCTGCCCGACTGTGCCGACAGCCGCCCCCCCCCCCCCCCCCCCACGCCGTCTCAGCGCCGTCTGACTGTGGCGGCGCCGTTGTTGCAGCCGCAGCGATGTCGTCTGTGGCCGCCGTCCTGTTGGGCTGTCTGCTGCTGCTGGGGGCCGCGCTGGCCCGGCCGCAGAGTTCGCGGCCCCAGTGGCAGGTCCGCTCCACCTACTCGGGCACGCCCGGCTTCTACCGCGGCGGCGCCGGCACCGTCACCGCCAACCGCAGCGGCTTCAACCGGTTCGGCGGCAACACCCGTCTGACGTCACTCGGCTCCTTCAGTGGGGTAAGTGCTGGCGTCCTCAGCGCGTTCAGTGGGTGGATGGTGACGTCGCTTAGCTCCTTCGGCTGGGTAGACGATAACGTCATTTCGCTCGCTTAGGGGTGCAGGCTGTGACGACGCTTAGGCGACGACGCTCTTTTGCTTGAGCGCGCCGCTACTGAGATAACTGAGCGATTAAGGTGAGTGGTTAGATTCGTGATTACTCGTCAGTGCCATTTAAGGGACCCTTGAAAAGGTTCTTCCGCATTTTTTTTTATTTACTGTTGAGTCAAATGTTACCGCCTCCAGCGCGATACACACCCAGATGTGGCGCTGAGCGCAGTAAGGCACCTCACACGACAATGGGGTGATAACCGGGCCCGGCACGAGCTGGGGCCTGACCTCAGCGGCTGGTGACCTGGCGCTCGACCCTGCCGACTGGTGATCCGGTGACTCGAGCGTGCGCCTGCGTGTCGGCAGGGCTCCACCCGCGGCACGGACACCTCCAGCGGCGGCAGCTCCTTCGGCAGCCAGTTTTTCAGGGATCGGTTCAAGGCGATCGAAAGCTCGTTCAACCGCTCCGCTTCCTCGGAAGACAGTGACTGAACGTTACTGACGTCCTACAGTGCAGGACAGCAAGAAAACGATGTCTGATGAGTGGTCTGGCAAGGCAACTGTTGCTTTCACCGCGGCGAAAAGGCCTCACATGTAGGCGGATGTGATGTATGTTTGATGTATGCGTTTTTCATGCGCTTCACCTGTTATTAAAGTGGTCTAGTGGGCTCGTGCCACCTCGTTTTCTCGCCTTTGTTAGATCTCGCCTCGCCAAGGATCAAAAAGCGAGGAATTGCTGATGTGTGTGTGGATAATGAACTTATATGCCGTATTGTTGGGTGCAAAGGCAGAATGTATCACACCTCTCTGCAATCGCCGATGATCAGCAGATACTCCTCAGGGGCGCAGGTCGTTGGAAATCACCAGCTGGCATCAGATTACGTGATAGCGAATGCATCGTGTGAATAGTTGAATTGTTCAAATGTATTGGTATGAATAAATGATATGTATCCATTTATGAGTAGCTTCAAATAGACAAGTGAAATGATCCCATGTTAAGAAGATAGCTCACTGAAACGTGACATCAAAGTAAGTTCTTGCTATCACTGCACGAAATCGGCGCCAAGAGTATACGGCAAAAATATAAGATGTGTAAATGAAGAGGTATAGCGACGCCTTTGCTTTTCCCATGCTACCTGGGTACATAATTTGCTCTCTGCGTAGGTGCAAGATGGTTTCTGCTTGCAAAAACTGGATCTGTGCATCAAATTTAGCGCTCCAAACATTGAGGCTAGAAAGGGAAAGCTAAATGCACCCAGATCAATGGGGAGTCTAAACGCACCCAGACCAGTGAGGGAACTAAATGCACCCAGACCAATGGGGAAACTACATGCGCCTAGACCATTGTCTTCCTAAATCGTAGCACCTTAAAACACATGTTTAAAACCGTCTGATAGCAAACCCTTTTTATTTCACATCATTCACCCTCTCTGATCCTCAAAAAGTAAATGCTGTAAAAAATACCAAAGAAATAAATATCATGCTATTAGAATAGGTCTTCGAGTATTAACATTGCTTTGGCATATTTTTATGAAATAATTGGAAATTAGCGTCCAAAATATCTCTCAGCTTACATCAGCTTTCCAGTCAAAAAGCCGTTCAGTTAGCACCTAAAGCTGACCTTTACAATTAAATCAATTTTAGTACAACTGGGTTTCATCCTTTTTAATTGGCGAGTTGCCTGAGAAATCATCCATCGATCTGTAAAGTGGGGTCAAAGGTCAAGTGATAAGCGCGTCGGACTAACACGTGAGGGGCCGGTTTCAAATCCCAGTTATCCCATGGCACAAGGGCGCTATGATGGTCAATGCGGTCGCTGATGCTCCATAAAATGGGCATTACAACATTCGTGACGCTTATTTTAAACAAAGAATAATAAAACATCTAAAATGTGTACGACTTCCTCCGACAATCGTTGTTGCGTTTGCTCGCAAGCCTCCCCAAGAATTGTTGGAAAACATGTTTTAACTTTGAACCGCTGCACACCAGCGACCTTGGTGGTTTCTTCTCCTCCTTTTTATGCCTCAAAATTGGCTATTCAGTTATCCTCTGCCGTCCAATGTTTGCGTGACTTACCCCAAGTCCGCACAAGGGACTCTCTTTGGGGTAGATGTGGATGCTCGGACGGGGGTCCAGTTAGGGGGGGGGGGGGGACACTCAAACCCACTCGTGGCTGGTATACGTGTGCATACATGCCCTGGATAAATGAGGCCTTGTGGGAAGAAAGAAAGAAGAATGTATGGGGAAAGAACAGTGGACACTACATAGCGCGAGAGACCCGGAACTAGTTCTAAATAGACCTCACGACTTTCATTTAGGCGCTGCTTTCGTTACCGGCGACATTCAACCGGTGAAAGTCGTATTGACTGGCGTGCCCTCAGCAACGACAGGTACGCACACGTGGCTGTGAATAGCCAATTAGGTGTGGCAACGTCAATGCGGGAGAGATTGCATGAGAAACGGTGCATTAGATGGGGTGAAATGTGCAGGAACAGTACGTTGGACGGGCTGAGCCGCACTCGGCCGCTGGTGTCTCTTGGAGTAAGGCTTAACAGTGGCCAGTGTAGATGGACTAACTTAGCATAGTGCTTTGTGGGTCAGTTTTGCACCCAGATGGCCTGGGTCGTGTTTAAAAGTCCATGTAGCAATTTTTACAGCCATTCTAGAAAAATCGCTGTTACGATTAAAGTTACGTCTGAAGCATAGGAAAAGACAAGTTGCAGTGACGTCGTGATCAATATAGCGCCGCACGGCATGAACTGATTCCAGCGGTTCAGTCGCAAATCAACCGTTTCAAGCACCAGCAATAAACTGCAATGACAAATGGTGCACTGAACTGCCGGTCATGAGTCCGTTGATAGGCAGCTAAAATGATGCGCATTTCTAAACTTTATCGCTGCTTCCGAAGAAGCACAAGAACGTTAATGCGAGCATGTGCAAGCAAAAGCCTTATGCATTGCGCAAGTGATTCCAAAGAACACACAACTAAATTTGAGGTAGGCCGACCCCGACGAGCCCGTGTGGCTCTTTGTTGGCCGGACATCTTTATGTCATCGTGTTTTTTAGCACACAGGACTAACAGAAAGAGTTTTTAAGCTCGCGACATTGCCAGGTATTTAGTGCCAATCCTGGGGACAGGATGGGCGCCTTCTCAGCAAGGGTGTCCATCGTAGTGGATAATTATATTCGTATTAGAGGATTTTTGGCAGCGTTGACAAAAAAAAATAAAGTAAAACAACGACATTCCAAGCATGGGGTTTCCATCTTGCCGTGTCTGGTATGATCCCGACTGTAGTGCACCGATGCTGGGTGCATACAACATTGTGTCATTTATATGCGACGCTATTTAAAATTGTTAACGTGCCAATTGTTTACGTCTCATATTCGGAGCCGATCGGTGGTGGCATTGTTTGTGACGGCGTGGACAGCGAGGCACAGTACCTTATACCGACAGTCGGGAGCCTGTATGCCCACTGGGGTCACGAGCAGCTGCTGCTAGTTTTCCATCAGATTTCGGTCTTCCATTTAGCAGATCCATTTCATCAAACTTCTAACGTGTACTTTCAACGTGCATCAGTCGTGCCTTTGCTGGTGGTGCTGCTGGTGGTGCTGCCTTTGTTTATTCTGCTTCTCCTCCCATTTGATGTCCTTCCCGTTTTTTCGTTTTTTCCGCTGCTTCTGCTGCTGGTCTTGCTGGTGCTCTTGCTGATGCTGGTACTCCTGCCACCCCTGATGCTGCCGCTGCTGCTACAAGTGTGTTGCGCTGTTTACAATGTCTCTCGAAGGTGCCCAAGTTTTGTTTCGTGGTGTTGTTGGGCTTCCTCATGGCCTTTTCTCGGTCGGAGAATAGCAGTGCAAGCAAAATGATGAACTCCTCGGTGGAATGGCTTCCTTAAAATTCGATTATCAAGTGCTAGAGCTGCACTCAAAGGGTCTTTATCCGTCTGGTCAGAGCAAGCCTTAACTAATTCATATGATACTCCTTCAGCTATGCGGTTAGCTTACACGCCAACGTCAAAGTGGCGAATAGATTTAAGATGAAGGCTGTTCAGCACAAAATATTCTGCTTTACGGACGACAAGAAGTTATTATTTCTATTATACTGGTATTACACTAACTGGACAGAGCTGAACGGAAGCCGAGTAGTTACACATATAAATATGGATGATGACTGACAGGTATATGTCCATCATCACCCATGTCCATCATCCTCGACCGTGTGTACAACTATTCCAAAACTCCTGCTCTTAAAAGCTAACGATGCCTTCCTGAAAAATTGTTAAAAGCCTGCACACTGGAAGTTCTTTTTAACGGGCCTAATCGGCGAATGCATGGCCAAACTGGAAGTGTTGCGATGGGCTCCGCTCTTGGGCCTTATTTTCTTATTTCTGGATGGACATATAAGCCATCATGCTACGAGATATAGACGTAAAACTTGAAATGTATCGTTGTTATATCGACGATATCTTTACAACGAACACAGAGCAACAAGAACGCCTCGATTAGTAAGAATAAAGCAGTAGAGAATAGAGCAAAAGAATAAAGCAAATAAAATAAATTGATTCGTTGTCAATGAGCCTTGTCATATATACATATATATATATATATATATATATATATATATATATATATATATATAGTATATATATATTCATACAAACAATGAACCATCCGACTGTTCTATCACAAGAAATGACATCTGCCTACAAATAAAACAAAACTTCCATGCTGCGGATCATCTCTCGATGTATGAAAATCCAGAAAGACCACGGAGTAGACCTTGCCATATATTATTGCAACTAAAAAATCTGGAACTTTTTATGAGAAGCAGTCTGGTTAACCTGACAAAGTGAAGTGCTCCTGTGTGGTGTGTCAATTCGAATGCAATCTCGAAGGCTGTAAACTTCGTTTTATACACTGAATTGGTGTAACCGTGGCGACACTCTCACGACGCCTGGCAATGCACTGTGAGGACGGGGCACCCCTGGGGCACATGCGACAGGGGGGGCAGATCAGGACATTGACACGGCAGCTGATGGACAACATTGCGGGAATGCAATGATAGAAAACGGGACCAAGTTTTTGGACAGTATATATATATATATATATATATATATATATATATATATATATATATATAGATGAATAGATACATACATGCATGCATACATGCATGCATACATACATATTGTATCAATGAGTTCAGCCCAGTCCTCAACAAACAGCCAGATTATATCACAAAATTGGGTTTTTTAGGTTTTGGATGATGCCTACCGTTGATGTGGCTGCGACTACCTTTCATTGTGCTGTTTTGTTTCCATCACCGATACATTTCACACACATACAAGTAACCTGTTGTATGTGCTGGTCTCTGTGCACGTTTGTGTACGCGGCTAGGTCGGCATGATGTGCGTAGGTGGCTGGCAGAGACGACCGTCGCTGCTACGCGTCTTGAACGTTGGACTCTCATATTATCAAATAGCATTTTTGTGCCCGGGTTGCAGAATGTGCCGGCAGATGTCCTTAGTCGGCTGCCGGCGCTTCCGACGGCGAGGACCGGAGACTGACGGGTGCGCAGCGCGGTGGATGACGATGAAGGGCAGATCTAGGCGGTCAGAGAGGACATCATGCTGCCAGCCACAGCCGAGAACACTGCCGGGGTTTCGAAAAGGAGCCGCCCTAGGTGCCGTGCTGGGCTGCGTCAGGTCAGATGCTTGGCCAGGGAAGGTTGAACAGGTTCCAGTGCAGCCGTGCCTCAGATGTAAGGAAACTCTGACAGACAGAAGCCGACGGATGCCTGCAGATGGGTGAAAAAAGGGTTATACCAGGCAAATTCAGAGATCTGTTTCTATGAGAATGGCATGAGGGGTACATGGATCTACGCAAAATAGAATGTTTGGCACGCGGGTTTTTGTGGCGGCCTCGTTTGGACACGCACATTGCAAAAATTGTAAGC